ATTAATTACTGAATTAGTAATCAAGTGAGTCAAATAGTTATAAGACTCACTGAAAAAAAATTTTACATTTGAAAAAAATTTACATCACATTCCCCCCAGGTCATGAACACACAACAATATTAAAAGATGTATATTAAGAACAGCTCTTCTAAAAAGAACACAAAAATAATAGAAGTAGAAGGATGAACGAAGATAGAAAAGTCTTATTTTCATGGTATTAACTAATCATTTGGTGCTACTCGCATATATTCAGAATCAAACTCTCACTGGTTGATTTCTACTCAGATTATTCAATAGTGTGAATTTCTACGTTTAACGACTCAGTTATACGAAGGATGAAAAATGAAAAAGAATATCAAATTTTATCTAAGTGGTCTAGATGTATTCCACACAGTTTGTAAGATTTAAAGTTCTTGATTCTTACTGAATAGATGGTTGTAGATTATGACCACTGATAAGTTTAAAACTGATAAGTTTAAAGTTTGCACGTCTCCTGGTTTTCATTAGCTCTTTAAATGATGCTGGTTGACGAGGAAATTTTTTCCTTAACTTACTAAAAACCATTCGTATGATTAGTAAATAAATTATAAGTAAATGAATAAGAAAGATTCAGAAAACACTTTTGATGAACATCCGTTTTGTCCTAATAAAATGCTCCTCAGACGTACGTATCGACCAGGCAATATGACTCTCCAGTGTGTCCTGACCTCGAACTTAGTTTTTAATAACTATCTCAGTTATAGTAACTTCATCAATCTAAATAATTTTCAATTAAAATGGAACTTCACAAATTTTTCATTGTTAATAGGATTTTCTCAACAAAATTTTAAAAGCTGACACAACTAATTGTTTTTTTACCATTTCGGCTTTGGACACCCTCATATGTGATTAGACCACTGAAATACTGTTAAAATGTACTTGAATTAGGATCCAAAATGCCTCCTCATCATTTTAATGAAGCTGTTAGATGGCTTAGTAACAGGTGTTTTCATCGAACACATATTTTCTCAAATTTAACTATTAGGTCATACAAATGATTTAATGTCTCAGAGATGTAGAGACAAAGAAATAGATTAAGGCGGAGCTATAAAGACATTCTATATTTTTATTATTTCTAGTAGGAATTATTGTTAAACATATAAGCATAGCAATTATTTTAAAAGAAACTAACCGAAATACGTTATACTAACTGAATGTAATCTGATTCGGTAATCCATTAATTTGTAACTTGTCTTCTTCAACACAAAATGATAAAGACATACACACATATACCTAATTCAGACATCCATATAATTAATTAGATTATTATCCACATATGTTATTAGATATACATATGCATACCTGTATCTCATCATTACGGATATACATAAACTAACATTCGTCTAAACTTTCTTAAACCAGAGTTTTGCTTTAAACAACTTTGAACAAATAGCAACGCCGTAGTTATGCTTATTTTCCAAAACAATCATTTTGGTTGAAGGAGTTTGGTAGAGGTCGATTTTATTTGTAGATTGTATTCATTGTAGACTGCTTTCAGTAGGAGAACCATTGAAAACCAGGGGTAAATGGATACCAATTTTGTCGTGGTATGCGACTTCCAAATACAAGCGAACATATAAGACCTATGAGGTATCAGATCTAGAACTTTGAAGTCTCACTTTGACCCCTGAGAATAATTTGTAATTCATATAACATACAAAAAGAGCATTTACTTGTGAACTGTAGAGTTTGATAGCGTAAAGGTTTGAGTAGGCCCCTAATCAAAAAAATTGTTTATCAGAAAGACATTTTACTGAAATTAAAGACACTTTCCTGAATGTAATTTCCTAACTAATGATGACATAATGAAAGACGGATGTGTCTATCAGATTCGAATGGATGATTTTTAGATTCTAGTGTAATGTTAAAAGTGAGTGATATTTATCTTTCATTATTTAAAAAATCTTATGGAAACAATTAAATTTAATCCCCACACTTTTTTAATTTTTTTTAAAATTTAGTTTTCATCATCATTAAGTTACAATGACAATATTAAGTGTATCAAACCGTTACTTCTTTCTATGTAGATTGTGTATACTACCGGAATCAATTGACCCCTGTTTTAATAATATTTTGTTTAAAGTAAGAGTTGCCAAAAATTTATTTGATTAGTGGTTTATTGAATAATAGACGAGCTATTAAAGTGTAGACATGTTACAGTAGATGTTTTCTATGGACAACTACATCTCATAATTCTATCCCACTAACGTTTGAATAGATTCACTGATAAAAATTTTGCAAGCGAAAATTTTCTATGAAATTTCTTTTCACTATGAGAAATATTTAAAGATAATGAGAAAATATTCACACTCACATTAATGAGGTTATATAAGAATATTATTTTAACAATAAGGTCTGATAACTATCTTAATAAATCTTAAAAAAACCTGACAAACTTTCTAAAATTATAGCAACCTATTCATTCTGGTTCATGACTTTTCACTAGTGGGCATCCAACATTTTATAACAGATTGAACTTCGAATATTCTGACCTCACGGCAAACACGACAATCTTGGGCTACTGAATTGATGTTTAGCAGATCACATTCCCCTTTCTAAAGTTTCACATCGACCTAATTCTATTACTGAACGTCATTATGTAGTGCACACGACGTTGAGTCACTAAAATTTATGATTACAATACAATTCGATCAATAGAATTCAATCAGCATTTATCATTAGACAAACATGACACTGGTCACTGCTCAGTGATCAATCAATATAAGTATTTCAGAATAGCTAAATAGTGAGGACTACGGCGGCTTGCTTGAATATATGGGCTACCTCTTCCTTCCATATCGATACTTCAACAAGTTATCTAATTTTGCTTGTTTTAATGCATTCTTATGTCGATTAATCTCATAAACTATTCAGGTGAGTATCTGAAAAGTGTACAACATTTTGTTGTACAAGATACAAAAAACTCAATCAGAGATATCGTGGTTTCTGGCAATATGCAGCGAAAAAAATGTACATTATTCAGATATCGATTGACTGAACTGCTAACTTCTAACTGGCGATCACTCAAAATCAATCGTCGGGATCGACCAAGTACTAAGAAATAGAAACTTGTTGAAATATTTTGTGGTGAAAATTCTATATTGTACCAAAAATATAATATTGAATAAAGCTACTACTACTAAAATATAATGTTGTATACTCTTAAACTGTATGAAGCGGGTTTGAATCTCCTAGGAAAGATAATTTCCCCCAAATTTATGAATCAAGAAGAGTTCCCCACACCCTGACTACCTCCAACTGCCAAGGAGTGTTAATGTACAACTTTTTATCAATAAGAGGGAATGAGAAACTAATCAATCGATTTATTGTCAAAACTGTTTATATAGTCATTGGATGTTACATGAAATAAGGAGGATGTAAACCTTATTTTATACTTATTTATATAGTCAGAATAAACAAAAATAGATGATCGTGTAGTTGTATAGATTTCTATGACCTAATTTTATATTTAAAAACCAGACATCTAAAATTCTTGGTTAAGTTTGATTAAATTTGATGTATAACTTCAGAAGAAATACCTATGCAACATTTTGGTGTACAGTATTGATTAAATGTCTTGAAAATAACTACTTCCTGTTTTAGTTCTCTATTGTTTACTGAATTGTAAAGATTGATATTCAGAAATAACATAATAAATCTGTCTAGCTTCATTCATAATATAGCCAACTATACAGGATTATTTAAACTGATAAATTAAGAGATTGGGGGGGAGGGATTGATTTCATGAATGGATATAAACTAGACCACCATTGAAAACATGAAGTCACTTGATGGCCATTATGCACTGTCGAAGAATCCCATACTAGAACGAAACGTTTATTTAGTGCCTTGAGGTTTTCAATGGTGTTCTAGTTTATATCAACTCATGAATTCAATTATTAAAAAAAAATTGATAAATCTATGTTCATTTCAATAGCTGGGATCATGATTCAATTGAAGCTAGACTACCATGGAAAACCTGGAAGCAATGGATGGCCGTTTTGTCTTATTGTGAGACTCCTCAACGGTGTGGATCCAAGTCCCACAGTAAAAAACGGCCGTCTAACGCTTCCAGGTTTTCCATGGTAGTCTAGCTTGATGATCTCAACAATTTAAATGACTTGAGTATCCACAAAAACCCCTTCTGGTGTAAATCTATATTCATCAGTATTATTTCTATCATACTTACTTACTTACGCCTGTTACCCCTCGTGGTGGAGCATAGGCCTCCCACCAGCATTCTCCATCCAACTCTGTCCTGGGCAATCCTTTCCAGTTCGTTCCAATTGTAATTCATCCTTTTTAATATCGGCTTCTATTTCCCAGTGTAATGTATTCTTTTGGCCTTCCTCTTTTCTGTTTCCCTTCCTAATTCGAAGTTAGGGATTACCTTGTAATGCAAATTGTTGAATTCCTTTAATGTATGTCCAATCCAATTTCAACGACTTTTTCCTAATTTCCTCTACAACTGAAAGCTGGTTTGTCCTCTCATTTCTATCATAACTTAAATCAATTAACTACTTAAGTTTAACCTACACAAGTAGTATAACACTTAAATATTAAAATATTTCTCAAATAATAATAATTTTCCTATTCTATTAAATAGAATAATTCTATATACTAATATAATCTCACATGATTATTTTATACACTAAGAGAGTAACAAAGTTTTGAAGAGTATAATATCTGGGCAATTATTTTTTTTAAAATAAATTCCATGATTATATAACAGTTTTTTTGTTCTGAAAGAATAATAATAACAATAATAGCAGTTCAGTATGTTTAAGCCAATTAAATAGGTGGATATTTCCTTCAATGCTAAAACTATTTAGACCCTCATATTTAGTTGTTGCTGTTGTTGTTTTCTTTTGTCTGTTTTTTTGTTGTTGGTATTTTTAATTTATAATAAAAACAAATAAGAATATAATTTTATTATCTGTACAATGTTTCAATTTTTATAGGTTGTGCCTTCGTTACATTTTGTCATAGACAATCAGCTTTAAAATGTCAAGATGCTTTACATGGTAAACAGACGTTGCCTGGGGTAAGTTAAATAATAATTATTATCATTATAATAACTAATACTCATCTACACATACACATACACACACACACACAAACACCAATATTTTAAAATGAGTTGGGGGATAAAACTAAAAAGAGACATGCATGTAGGGTAAGATGTGAAATCGCCATTTTTCTTAAAATTTGAAATATATGAATAAGGGGGGATAAACGTGCTCAGATAATAATTTATATACATGTTTCAGATAGGAATGATAGAATTCAAATGTAGCGTGAAAGATTTTATTAAAATATATAAAATAGATTAAAAAAAATAAAGGATTTGTTACAATCCCTTTTGTACTATGATTTTCAATATTTTTTTCTATGGTATTATTATTAGGAATGATGGTAGTAGTGGTAGTATTATTATTATTATTAGAAATAGTATAATTATGAATTCTATGAAATCTTCAAGTTACATTACCATTCATGTGTCAGTTGTATTATGAAGTTATGTATAACCCTTTTCTTCTTATACTTTCAGTTATTGACTGATTTCTTGTTCAACTAAAAAAATTGGAAAGTTTATTAAATGATGAATAATTTTCATCACTGATCATCCATAACTTCTAACTAAAACTTGAGAAATTCACCTCATATACTTCGTGGTGGATGATATTAATCATGTCGTCAGTGAAACAGACATTAACAGTGACATTATAGATGATCTTAGCAATCAACCACAAATTTATTGTATTCGGTGATTCATGCCATTAAATTTCATTTCATAGGTTTAAATGGCTAAGAGTTCACCAGTAAGATTTTATGATTCTGACTTCATTTTTTTGAGAGACTATAATTGTGCACTCACAGTAGTGTAAAAAGGGACCTAGTACCCTTTCAGTTTTCAAATGTCATTTAACCGATATCAGACCTTTATAAGTTAAACTAATCTCTATAAAACTTTAATAAGCTATAATATAGTTTATTTCATGAATTGATATCCACCTTATTACTGGTTGATAATTGATAAAAAACACTTGTCAGTTGATATATTTATCCTAGTTTGCAAATCCTGATATGTCTGAACCTATGACTGCAAAGCCTAATGACAAGCATGAATCTGTCAATGATAAATATTTCAAACTTTAGTTCCAACGAAGCAGAGAATATGTCATTGAAAGGTTATGAGGACCATTTAAAAGCTTTGTGTTTTTAGTAATTATCTAATAAAGAGTGGTGGGATGAAGATTATTTTGAGTTACCAATCTATGATGAAACATCTAAACACTGTTTCCTAACTTTCAACGATTTTCCAGTTTATAACAGTCCTGGAAGTAAAATAATTACAACCTTACTTTTCCTTTCTTTAACTCAGTGTGATTTCTCATTTGCCTTGATTCATATGCAAGAATTTTTAAAATTCTTAAATTGGTGGCTGTATACCTGGAAAGATTTGTTCACAGACATTGTTTCATTTAGCATAAAATAAAATGATATCAAAAAAACAACATTACTTATTCAACTGGCTAACCTTAGCTAAACAACCAGTGGAACCACCAGAAAACACCGGACAATTGTTACAACAATTGTTACATCCAAAACCTCACCGGATATCAAACCCAGAAACTGTAGATCTGACAGCGAGTGCTTTACATCTGGATTACTGATTCAGCACCGATAGTTTACATTCTCACTATTAGTCAATTCATGATATTGTGAAACGATTTCCCAATATTATTTTTGAGAAACTGCATCACACCCGATACAATTGAAATTCACCGATCACATTTTCTCGCTAAAATTCTCGAAATTAATCACTACTGAACCTATGATTATCATTATTATTAGTAGTAATAGTATTAGTATGGGAGATCTGTAGAGGTTGTTGAATTTTATAAGTCCCATCACGAATTAACCGACTTATATCTCAAATGGGGACGCGAATTTACACCGTCACAGAATTCCATACAATGACGAAACTATCAGTTCACGTTGTTGCCAATCAAATTCAGAAACGTTTAGAAAAACCCTATACACTAACGACAATATTGATTAGTGATAATACTTAGTAAGAAATAGCTTATTCCATATATATTTATACTGTCTAGTAGAATAAGTGATAGTCAATTGATCAATTTGTAGGATCAATCTTATTCTATATTGTTAATTGACTGAAACCATCACAATCCGACTCACTCGATTTATATTCAATGGCTATATCGTATTCATCGTAACACTTAGAGCTTGACTGTATTGGATTCCCATTGTAAAGTCATAAGTGTACACTGCTGATTAACTCGAAACTAGAATAATTCTAGAAACTGAAGTTGGTTAAAGATAAAAACCTATCATCAAACTATGGTCACCTCTATGACAAAATATTCAACCAAATAATAATAGTCAGTATAGGGTTATGTAGATTGTTTGGTTTAATTAAAATCATTAACAGATCAATGTTATGCTTATTGAAGTTCTACTTATACACCATCAGACACTGGACTCAGCAATGTAGAGGTTAAGCGAGACTGAAATTCCTGAGTTCTATTCCCGCTTGGGGGTTCATAGACACGCACTGCTGGGGAACCCTTTATTAGGACGAAACGGGCGTCCACTGATTTTAAATTTTGAATGGTTGTCCAACTTTAACCGGTTCGAGATCTCAATAAATAATGACAAACATTTTGAATTGTTTAGTATAAAGGCTTCTAAGTTGAATTCTGATCAATTTCCTCATAGGATATCAACAGTAAGAAATCAATGAACATAATCAGTAATGGAAGTTTTTGAAAGTACTTCAACTATGATCACTGGCAAGGTTGAGGTTGCATACCTCCATTCAACAATCTCGCAAGCTAGGACGAAGCCAGTGGGTTCAGTGATCCCCAAATTTCAAACAGTTGTCTAACTTCATTCAGTCTCTGAAATCAACTGTAAATATAGAGTAGGCCGAGATAAAAACTTTTGCCAACAAAAAAAATCATTCAAATTCACAGATTATTAACTATCAGTTAAAAATAGAATTTTATTTCATGACTTTCATGAATTGAAACACTGTCTTTTCATCTGAAAAAAAAACAAAATTTCAATTCAGTTTTAATTAAACAGAACAAAAAGATAAATATTTATCATTCAATAGGGTAGAAAGGTGGACAATAAGTGAAGTGAGAAGTGGCAGATAAGGAAGAAGGAAGAAAGATGACAGAGGAATTGTATAAAGGATACAATGTCAGAGAGAAACAGAGAGAGAGCAGAGAACTTCACACTAATTAAGTGAGATTTTTAAAAACTGAACAACAGCGAAACAGCAAAGATTGATAATAATAATAATAACATAAAATGATCGTATATAGTCAAAATTAACATGATTAGAATGTTGTGTTTTGTCCATTAAGCTACCCGATCTATCACAATCATACAAACATGCCGATTTACATACATGGTTAACATATTTCATTTCAACTGTCATTACTAAAGTATTTCATCTTTTTTGTCTGTCTTACTCTCTAGAGGTAATAACATAAACATTTTATCACAAAAATTAAAATTTTTTTCTTTTAAGCAACCAAAAGTTTTATAAAGATTCACACCAATAAACCTGTATAGTTTTATTGTATAAGCGGTTGTCAGTTTGTATATGCAGTATCTATGAACTTGGATTTGTATGTACATGTTGATGTGTAGGTAGGTTACTAGGTGGTATTTGATGATAATCAAATGAATTATTAATTGAATGAGAAATCATCTAGTAAGAAAAATGTTTTGAAAATTATCCTTTTTCAGAAATAATCACATCTTGTGCGGTGATGATAATATTTAAAGTACATAATAAATATATAGAGAATATTGATTTATTCTGTTTGAAACTTCCCACTGATGCCTAGGACTACAGCGAATAGGTATGTTTTGAAATATGTGCATTCTGTGAAGATTACCTCAACGTAGCTATCAGGTCATAACTATCTAAAGGAGAGTTGGATGGTGGCTAGAAGTACAATCCAGGACTCATGTTTAGTCCTACTTCGAACTCACTAGATGGATTCAACTGATTCTCACAGTTCATGTTCAGGTTACACATGAATCACAACTCAAGAGGGTTCTGGGTATGATATCTTTCTGAGTCGTGGTCCTGCTCCCCTATTTCAGTTAACTATTATTTAACACTGTACGGCCTTCAACCAATACCATCGATAATAAGGTCCACCTCTTCTAAAGTGTTAGATAATACAATAGATAAGGACTGTATGAATTACGGTCATCGTAATCAATTTTTACCGAGTGATGATTACTCTCTAAAATTGGACTATTTTAAGCAATAGCTTTAAATGAACGGATATCAGAAGACAAAATAACAAGTCAGTAAAATATTGGTAGTTTTCACAGCAAAAAATGATATACCATTTACATACAGAGAATCACATAAAATAAATATGATTGAAATCGTTATGTATATTCACTACAGATTGATCACAGTTGAGGTACCTATAAAAACCAGAGAACAATTGTGTGAATTGTGTGGTTTTTGGACGTAGCCTGTCAGTGCCAATGCAAATTCATTAACCTACTACAGATTGAACCAATAATCATCAGATCTCATTGTGAACATTTATTCATTAAAATCACTGGGTTGGTGTCCAGTAGTATGCATGTTCAAAATCAATCAACTTTCTATGTAGAGTGATGATCATCCATTTCATCAGTGATAACATTTTTACACCCAACACGTCTGAACTCCATTAATTAAGACTTTTTACTGGAAATTCTGGAACATCTAGAAGTAATCCATCAGTATGGTAACTTATAGTTTAGTTTGGAGGGTTTTGTAGAGTCTGGTTTATAAGTATTTGAAAACAAGAAATATATTACGTGTATAACATATCCAAATCTTTGATGAAATTGTAGCTTTTAATCTCTTGCATTATTGCTTTTTAAATAAGTCCAGGTATAAGAGATCACGTTTCATTCATTGCTTAAACTATTCTTTTAGTACAGATTTTCGCTTAAACTAATCACATTCTTGAATGGATTGATCTTTTC